AACTTGTCTTAATAAAAGTAAAGAAAGAAAAAACAAGCTAACAGAAAACTTAAAAAAAAAAGTCACACATTCTAGCGGCCACAAAAATTAACATAGCATTTTTATATGATCAGAACTCTGAACCCAATATATCCAAGATACCCACCAGAGAGAGTTCTAAAGATCCTACTGTTTATGTAAATCACCTTATAGCAACTGGCTAAAATAGACTGAACACTCCTAAGCATATTAGTGTTATTTCATCTACACTAGCTCCACTGTATCCTTCTGATGACTCTTAGGGAAATCCATAGGAAGTGTTTCAGCATGCAGTATTTGTACTTGTGTGTGACTTCTATATTTACATGCTGATGTGTTGTGTTATGCTCATCTCTGATCTACCAGATTAGGCAGAAATTTAAAATTATTGAACCACAAATCATTCGTTAAATTATGCTTAACACTTTTCTCAGCAGTTACTATTCTGCTGATGTAGAAAAAAATTAAACTGTGAATTGTTTCAAAATGAAACAAAATTTAATAATTATTAACTTTAATATCAAGTGAAGTTGATATATAATATTTTGTAAATATTTCTTTTAACATTTCTTAATTGTAATGATTCTTTTCATATTGTAGGCTGGAAAACATTTTTACTCTTCAAAAATTTAAACTTAGGAATGCTTTCCGCTTGTGGCAATGGTTGATTAGCTGACCTGGAATAATTCCCTTATCAAAGACAATTTAAAATATTCAAAGGCAATTTACAAAATCTTCTTCAAGTTATCAACGACCTAAATAGGAAAGTTTAGGAATTGTCAGGTCAAAAACAGGGGCTATATTGAAATTTCAAAGAACTCTGATGATTTGTAGCTGCTTCTACCCAGGGGATATGAAATAGTTCTGTGGAGTAAGAATATACAGCTTCTTTTGGCAGGGATATGAAGACTGTCAACCCTGAGATGAATGTGAGAACATAAGAGATTTTCACTTGAGAAGAGAAAATGATGTCCTGAAGAAACAATGATCAGGGCTGACCAGACAGTTCAGTGGACTAAAGCGCCTGCTTCAGCAGAGCGTGGTAGCCAGGGTTTGGTCTCCAGAGTGCCCTGCCAGCTCCGCCCCTGGGGTGCACTGAGTTGGTGATTGAGACTGGGCATGGTGGTGCATGCCTGTAATCCCTGAAAACAGGAGAATGACTATGAGTCTGATCTATGCAGTGAGACCCTGTACACCCTGAAGACCCCTAAATTTATAAAAAAAAAAAAGAAGCAAGGATCAGTTAAGACAATGAGTTGAAACGAGAATTTAGAAGGTTGAAAAGAAAAAAAAGTTTTCTCACCGCAAAAGGAACTCTAAGTGAGTTTAAGAATGATGGAGAGCAAAACCTCAGGTAGCTGGGCACGATGGTACGTGCCTGTAATCTCCACACTGGAGTGTGAAGCAGGAAGAGCACCTCAGTTCAAGGCCAGCTCAAACTACAAAGTGAAACACTGTCTCAAAACAAAAGCAAAACCCCAATCCAACACAAAACAAAACCCAGAGATAGGAGATGATGTCTTCTAGTTCTTTTTCTATGCTTTGTGTATGACTTATGTTTGGTAGTGGTTATTTGGATTCTGTACAGTGCCATTCCTGAGAGAGACTCAGTTCTACCATCTCCATATTCTGTCTGTTCACCTCCATCCATGCCATACATACCACCCTGAATGCTGTATGTCCAGCTTGCTGAAATTATTTTATATCTTTTGGCTCGATAACTGATCCAACAATCCAAGACAGAGAACCACAATGTGAATGTTGGAGAATATTGTACTTATGTGGGCACCATGAGCAGCATGGGTATCTATTCTATTGCAGGGGAAACAGGGCACAGAAACACCCCTTTGTACATCTGCAATTTGCAGAAAGTTAGAATCTAACATCAGGAATATGAAGCAGAAAATATGAAGGACAAAACTAGCTTCAGACTACTTTTTTTTTTTTTTTTGCACTGGGGATCAAACTCAGGGACTTGTACTTTCAAGGCAGGCAATTAGGTCACTGAGTTGTCTCCCCAGCCCCGACTATTCTTAACAATAGTGGTGATAAAACCTCAACTAAAATCACAACAAGCCAATTCTTTTGATTAGGATAAAATCAACAAATGCTTTAATGAAGTCAGCATTCTTTTTCCATTCTAGACAAAGATAATAGTGAGCTCAAAGTATAGCATTTTACGAATATGTTAGAATATCTACTTAGTTTGCCAGCAATCACACATGAGAAAGTATACTCCTAAGAAATTAAAGGAGTGGGCATACAGCATGCATTTATTTTGTAATTTTAAAGTGTATTAATGTTAGCTAATAGATTTTTTTTTACAGAAAATAGCTACAGTACTATTTAAAAACACTTTGATCTACCTCACTTGATTCAGGCCTTAGCCTTTCCAATTAAAAAATATAAGCCAAAGTTTCCAGAGGATTACTTTGTGAAAAGTAAAATGAATAAACTATTATATCTTTTCCAGGAATGGTTGAACGTAGGAAGAAATAATCATAATAGTACCTGTACAGACATTTCTTGTTCAATGCCTGAATTCAGTTCCTTCGACTGGATTGTTAAATTTATTTGTCATTAAGTGAGGAATTCTATATAGTATGTACATTGCAATATTGAAGAAGACTACCAGAAGAAATCACTGTCCTATATAAACAAGGTATACTGTATAAAAATTGAGCCTCTTTAAGAACATGTACAGAAATGTAAAAAAAAAAAAAAAACAGGTTGTAAATCTGAGTGGCAGGTTGTAAGTGTGAACAGCCTACCACAGTCCTAAGTCCAAACAATTGTTAAATAGGTGAGTCATCAAACAAAGAATACCTGTTATGTTAGTGCCTAGAATAAAAATATTGATAAAGTTTCTTCCCTCAGAATGTACCATACGTCCTATCATTAAGGACCAGCAGACTTTATTTAGAAATCAATTTATTGGGGGCATTTCACATGTACATTTAAAAGAACTAAAATCAGAAATTATCCTCTTATTCCTCAAAGGTCCTGAACAAGCCCAATTGACTGCTGATTCTGTCACTTAATTCTCTGGTGATCATTAATTTCATCTGGTAGATGTATAGACTAAATAGAAGGGTTTTCTTTCTTTCTGTTTATTTTCATCACTTTGAAAGAGACTACATATCCAAAGAGAGGACAAGTGGACGACTGAAGGGAAGTAGGTTGTGTTATGGTAATTATGCTCTTTTTGCCAAATCAAAGCCAGAAGGAAAATATTCCTATTAAACAGACTGGGAAACACAATAACAATAGCCCTAGAGTTGGGAGGAATGAGGGTAGCTAGATCGCTCTGACTTGCCTTTTTGTACAAACTTTGAGATGTGTCTAGCACAAGTTGAACTGAACAGGTGAAGAGGGCAGGAAGAGACATGAGGACATAGGAGTAGATGAAGGAAGGAACAAAAAGAGCAAAGGCATGAAAGTGGGAATAAGTTTGGTGATTATAGTGAGGGTTTTACAATGACTAGGTTGAGAATCTAAGCAATGGGTAATGAATAATGTAATATCAGATCATATGTCTCCTTAAGAACATAATTTAGGTTCAATTTGCTAGTGAATGGAGAACTTTCACAAGTATTTCAGTCCATATTGCCTTACACAGGCAGTGTTTTAAGACAAAATGTAGCTAACAGTTTGTTAGTGGTCTTTGGAGAAGTTGGAACCTGAGGTTAACTCCTGACTCTGGAGTTTGCAAGCTACCATATATGACTGAGGAAATTATTTTTCTATGTTTCTGTTTGTTTTCTGCAAAATATAGTATAGTACTACCTATCTATCAAGATTGTTGTGTGGACTACATATAAAGAGATTAATTAAGAGTCAGTATAAAAGTAATTTGGAAGAGACAGAATCTGTGTGCTGGGACTTTTAGGAAGTTGTAGCAATATTTGAACCTCTGCAAAAGTGGTAGGTAAACTACTAGAGAGGAGAGGGAACACAATTTACAAAAGAAAAAAGGAGGATAGGTGACCAATTTTGTTTCTCGTTTCATTTTTCAACTTGCAAATATTTCTATTCATTTGAGATCATCTGGGAGCTTGAAACTACAATTTAAATTATATAGTCCCTCCCTTATACATTACTAATTGTTTGTTGTTTTCCTAAGCTACAAATAACTGCCTGCTCTCTGTATATCATTCCAACAAGTGCAATGTATGCTCCAAACTCTTTCCTCACTCAGAAAAAAATGCAATTTTCAAATTTTGTTTGCTATTTTCTTCTCCATTCTTGAGTTTGACAATCACACCTCCTCCAAAGTGCGCTCAGAAAAAAAGATCTCCAATTTTAACAAAAAGAAAAACTCAAAAAGAAATCTGAATCTGTCTTTTCCAGCTTTAGTGCAACCTGAAACTTCTCCTGAACCTTGGCCCAGTATTTCAGTTCACAGTTCCTGCAACCAGCTAACATCATAAAAATCATTACATTATAGAAGTCTTACAAAGTTCAAGGCTGTGAGTACTTGGTGTTTTTCTTAGTAGTATCTGGATTTAGCAAAGAACTTGCTGTTTCAAGGAAAAAAAATATCTTTTGATTTGCTACACTTTTGAGTAAATTACAGAAAAAATTTTTTCCTGTACAAAAAAGATCCTTTTTCATTGTAATCTAATTCAATTTAGTGTTTGCTTTTTCTTTACTTTTTTCTTTTTCCTCCCCCCTCTTCTAGAGAAAGGAATCGTTAAAAGGAATTGTTTCAACAGATCTCGCGGTGCTATTCGAGATTCTCTAGTTTAAAAAAAAGGAAGAAATGATGCAAATGAGCCTTGCCTTCCGGGGTTTGGGGTTGGACTGCAGTTTTCTGAGCCGGTTGGAAGCAGCTAAGGGTGAGGCGGGGCTCCGGAGCATTCTCTTTCTTCCCTCCCCCACTCGCCTAATCTCTGTTGGGCTCCTAGCTTCTTCCCAGCCTCGTTGCAGCTGCTTTGCAGCCGTTTTCAGCATCCAAACAACCGCAAGCCACTGTTCCCAGGATGGTGATCCGCGTGTATATTGCATCTTCTTCTGGCTCTACGGCGGTAAGGAGAGTGGGCAGTCCACCTTTGTTATTTTTCTTACCTACAGGTCTCTTTGGCTCCAGAACCGTTAAATTGCTGTTCATCTGGCAGTTGTCCTTTGGAAGACGTATGCATCCCCCACCCTACTCCCTTCTTCTCTTTCTTCTTTTGTTGTAATGGCTTTATTTTTCCAGGGAGTCTTAGCTGTGTTTGCCTGTTTGTCTAATTACGTCGGGAACACATTTCTCCTATGAAAGAGAAATAAAGCTACAAAGTTTTGGGAAATGGGAGCTGGTGTTATTGGTTCTTTAGAACCGGTTAGGGGAAGAAGTCAAATAAAATCACACACTGATGAGTTTCAAGAATGAGACATTTTGCAAATATGCTCTAAGTAATGATACAAATGGAAGGAATGACTTTTTGTAAAGGATAGGAGTACACATGCTATTACCGATGGAAATTGAATGGAGGCCTAACTACTGAGGTTCTGGGATTATTCTAAAAAGTGAGACTCCTGTAATAATAGATTTATTGTGAGTGTACATAGCAAAAGCGTGTTTAACTTCAGTGTGAAAGCTTGCTAGAATTATATAAAATGGAAGAGGAACTTGAGAACAATGATACAATTTTTAAAACTTTTTTTGAGACATTATTTCCCCATGCTGTTTCTCATTTTAAATTTTTCTTTCAAAAGGTTTTATATCTGACATTTCTTAACTGCTTTAAATATGTTGGAAGGTGGAAAGGAACTAACAAATGACTTTCTGAAAAGACAAACTGAGTTACTGCTTCTTCAAAAGAGAATTTTCTTCTGGATCCATTTGCTAATTGTTAACTGAGTATAACATTTTTTTCAGCAGCTATGAGGAGGAGAGGATAAACTGTGAAAGCTAAGTATATGTGCTTCAAAGGAAAATGTCTCTGTTCTGCACAACACAAAAGAAAAGCAGTAGCAGATGTTTGGGGTTCAAGATGGAAGATATAGGAGACCCTCCCTCTCCCTCTCCTTGAGTTTTAGAGCAGCAGTGATTCTGGGTTCTTTTTTTTTTCCTTTTTAAAATATTTGTATCTAAGGGGGTTTGGAAAGGAACCCAAAGTTTTTTTGGAATTGCAAGAACTTTCCACCTTGAGTTTTTGTCTTCTCTAGCCACTATGTGTGGCATGTTTAGAAAGTTTTGAGACAATCAAAAACCTTGGAATAAGTTTTATTTGTAAAAAAGAAAACTTTAAATTTTCTCTGGAACACATTTTTTTCCTGTATTTTAGGGAAGGATCATAAAGGGTGTTCAGGGTCTCACTACTAGATTGGACTCGTAGTGATCCACCTGTTTACAGCCTCCCAAGAGCTGGGATCCCAGGTGCACACCACCATTCCTAGTCTCAATTGCTGTCTCAGCATACCCCCAGGGGTGGGGCGTGCGTGACAGGCCTGGGAATCGAACCCCTGGCCCCTGTGTCTGCCTAAGCAGGTGCTTTAAATCCGCTGAGCTATTTGGCCAGCCCTTGGAACACTACATTATA